CGTGTTCGTCTCGCTTTCTTTTGAAACGCCACATACCGCCGATGATATTGGCTTCTGGTGGTGCGTCGACTAGTTCACCTACGTTATGTGAAGTCAAAGAGTTAAATTCTTTTTCCATTGCTTGGAGCCAGTTGTCTCGCTCTTTTCCGCGCATGGCTTCGGTGTAAGTGGGACAGTCGTCACTTTTCTTTGCAGCGTATAATGTGAGATTACCGTATCTTACAGGTGGTTTACGATCTCGAATTGGTCGTTGGGATATAGTGGTTGAGTTCTGTATTGGGATTGGTTGTCGATTCGGGATTGGAGGTTCAGGATGAGGTGAGGGTTCGTTTTTGTCTTTTGGATATTCGCTGTTGTTTTCCTTGGTGATTGAATCTGATGTGTACTTTTGATGGTTGTCTTCTTCTCTCGATTTTTCTGTTGCTTTCAGACTTTCTAAGTCAGTTTTCATTTGTTTGGTGATTTTAATTTTAATTTGTTTTGATTCTTTATCTTTTAATTCTTTTAATTCTTTTTCTTGAAGTTGTTTTTCTTTTAGTTCTTTTTCTTTCAGGTCTTTCAGTTCTTTTAATTCTTTTTCTTTTAGTTCTTTTTCTTTCAGTTCTTTTAGTTGTTTTTCTTTTGATTCTTTTTGTTGATTTTCTTTCAATTCTTTCAGTTCTTTTTCTTTTATCTCTTTTAATTCTTTTTCTTTTAGTTGTTTCAGTTCTTGTTCTTTCAATTCTTTTTCTTTCAGTTCTTTCAGTTGTTTTTCTTTTGATTCTTTTAGTTGATTTTCTTTCAATTCTTTCAATTCTTTTTCTTTTATCTCTTTTAATTCTTTTTCTTTTAGTTGTTTCAGTTCTTGTTCTTTCAATTCTTTTAGTTCTTTTTCTTTTAATTCTTTCATTTCTTTCTCTTTTAATTCTTTTTCTTGTGATTCTTTCTTTTTGTTAATGTTGTGTGGTGCGTGTATTGAATGATAGAGGGGTATAATTTCTTTGGGTGTAAATTCTATTGGAGACATGTTGTGTGAGATTAAATCTGAAGCTTTGTCAGAAAGCGAGAATTCAGAGAAATTAGGGGATATTGGCGATAGTTGTTGTGGAGTTAAAAATGGTGATGAAGACTGAGATAGGGATTCGTGTTGGCCACGTGGTTGTGATTGAAAATGGGAGAAGGGTCTTTGAGCTGATTGTGGGTTTGAAGTTGCCAAGTGTGTGGTGTTTTCTTGAGTTGTTGAGTTATTTGATGTAGTGTTAAATGGTATCTGAGCTGTTTCACTGTTAATTTCGTTTGCTTCAAGCATGGTTTCATTGAATGGGAAAAATTCATCATCAGTAATAAAAGATTGTTCATCGTCGTTTTTGTTTTTAAAGGGAAACAGTCTTTCGTTGAAAAACACATTACGAGAGATGATTATCTTTTTGGTTGTTAAGTCCCACAGACGATACGCCCTTGCACCTTTTTCATATCCTACATGAACACACAGACGTGATTTTGCAGAAAGTTTGTTGAGTTCGGTTGACTTCAGGAGTGGATATGCGGCGCATCCTAGAACACGAAGAAATTTTGTATTTGGTGGATGAGCTCCTGCGATATCAGCATTCCATAGTACAAGTGGAGTTTCCATATCAATTGAAGCATTAGGAGATATGTTAAGCAGGTAGGAAGTTGCCATCATGATTTCTCCCCACAGGAATTTTGGGATATTTCCTTCAATCATGGTGGAACAAGTTCGCTCAAGGATGGATCGGTTGAAACGTTCAGAGACTGAGTTTTGTTCGGGTGTTTCAGCTGGAGCACGCTCAAAGGTTATACCTTTTTGTGACAAGAATTCTGTGAATTGGTTGGAGGTGTATTCACCTCCTCGATCTGATTTAAATATCGCTATTTTCTTATTTTGATAACGTTCAACTTCAGTGATGTATTGCACAAAAAATGAGAAAACTTGAGATTTTGTTCGCATGATCCTAATACAATTGTATCTTGTAGCGTCATCTATGAAAGAAACAACATATTTTCCTCCTCCCAAGGATGCAGTGGGCATTGGTCCTAAAACGTCGCTATGTATACGGAATAAAGGAACATCAGATTTGGGAAAATGGGAGGAAAAAGGTAATCGATGGGCTTTTGACAAAGTACATGGTTCACAGTCCAATTTGCTTGTGGATGTTGGTGATACTTTAGAAAGGGATCTGTAGTTAAGGTGACCAAATCGACGATGCCAGATGTCAGCGGGAATAGATGCAGGAGCAGCAAAAAGAGCAGACGACCGACGTGCCTGTGTTAGAAACAGTCCGTCAGATCCTTTGCCAGTGATGATATAGTCTTGAAGTTCGTTTTCTAATATGATGTTGGTTTGATTGCTGGTAAGGTTTGCACCTTCACGAAGCATAGCCGAGACGGATATTATGTTGACTCCTGCTTCGGGGATTAAAAGTACATCCTCAAGAGCAATCAATCTATTTTCGCCGGTATGAGTTTTTCCGTGAATGTACGCGATTCCAGAGAGTTTTGCAGTGATTCTTCCATTTTGTCCCCCTATTCCAGAAATGTTAACGGGTTGTATGGTATGAATGTTAGATAAAAGTTTTGCACTGCTGGCTATGTGGGTATTTGCACCACTGTCGATAAGAAACTGATCTTTTTGAGTGATGTGAGTTGTTGCGTTGAAAGCGGAGTACGTGATGAAATCGTTGCTTGAGTCATTCTCAACTGCTACATGTACAGATGCGGAATTGGTGTCGATTGATTTGGCCATCATAGCTTGGTACCGTTTTGCCATTTCTTCAACGGACAGTGAGCTGGAGTCTTTGTTTTCATTTTTCTTTTGAGTGTGACATTGTTCATTGGTGTGCTTTGAGTTCGGGTGAATATGACATAGATCCTTCGGTGATTTTCCAACTTTTCTGTTATCAGTTCTCGTAGGTCGTTTTGATTTGGTGTAATAGACTTCTTTGAATTTTTCTTCGCTGTTGGTGTTTGAACTGGCTTCGAGTCGGAGTCGAGCACATACGTCGCTTGTGGAGATTGTCTTGATGTTTGACAAGAAATGTTGGATTATGAGGCCGAATTCATTTCGAGGCAAGCTGTTGACTAAAAGTATAGCATAAATCCTGTCTGATAATTGAAGGTCCTTATCTCCAGCTGTCATATCACGAATCTTGCTGTGCAGATCTTGGACTTTTGCAATGTAGTTTGTGATACCGATCGAGTGGTCATATTTTAAGCTGAAAAGTTCAGTTAGAGTATTTGCAGTTGTTATGCCGTTGTCAGAGCCGTGTTGAGAAACAAGAGTTTCGAAAGCCTTTTTAGGATCTTCGATAGATTCGATGGATGCCAAGTTTGCTGAATCAATGGAGTTGCGTATTGCGTATAAAGCTGCTGCTTGTCGCATGTCGAATCGAGATCTTTCTTGAACTTCAGACGGTCGTTCGATTTCTTCTTCGATGAAGTCGTATAGTCCGTTCATTTTAAGATAGATCTTCACTTCAGTTTTCCATGCGTAGATATTTCCCGTGGTTAGTTTAGGGATAGAGGCAACTGCAGAGGTGCTGAAATGGGTATTTCCTGAACTTGGATTGGACATATTGTATTTCATTTGGGGTTCGGATGGTTTGGTGTCGTGATCTTTCGACATTGAGGAAGAAAAACAATTTTAGAGAGATAGAATTAATTGATAGTACCTTTGATGGACAAAGGGTTTGTATTATGTAAATATATAGTACGCGTCTAGAGCGCTGGGCTCATAACCTAATGAGACAGGCTACGTGCAGGTCGTGGAAGCTCCGCATGCGGGCTTCAGGACTGTTAGTCGAATGTCACAAACGAGATCTTCGAGAAGCTGTCGACAGTGTTCTCGGAGTGGAAGCGTTTTTAATAGAAATGTAATGAATATTATTTATGCCAAAAAAATGAGAGAGAAGGAAAAACAACAATCATTTGGATTATATACAAATGGAACGGTCTGAACATTGGATGAGTAAGAATACAAGAAGTGTTCGTAGAAAGGAAATGAGAACATGCTTAGAGTCTTCAGAGTGAAGCTCAGCATGATGGTCTGAATACTTATGGCCACTAAGTGTCGAGTACGATTCGAGATACAAGTGTTGTATCAACAGGATGAGGGGCTGCTCAGTTATTCCTCAGGGGCATCCCTGAGATCAGGAGGATCCGGAGGATTTCACTGCTCATTGGATGAGGGCCTGCTCAGCTAGTCCTCAGGGGCATTCCTGGCCGGATCAGAAGGATCCAAAGGATGTCACTGAGTATTGGCTGAGGGGCTGCTCAGTTGATCTCAGCCCCTCAGTGTGAAAAACTTTATCCGGGGATATCACTGAGGATTAGCTGAGCAATGAGCAGATGGGATGACACTTTTATCAGGCTTCATTCCTTAGCAAGGAAGTCTGAGAAAAGTCCGGCCCATCAGTGATCCAGTCAGGGGATGCTACTGAGTATTTGCTGAGCAGCTCAAATGGGACGCCTCTGGGCAGGCTTCTTCACTGAAAAATGAAGCCTCAGGAAGGTATAGTTCATGTGCTCATCTTCATTTTGAACAAATTGCTGAGTATTCAGTGCCTCATGAGCTGATCCTGAGTACTCATCGGGAATCAGTTATTGCTCATCCAAGATGGAAATGAGCCTTCTCAATAAATGTCAAGTAAAATATGATAACCACAGGATGATCACCTGAACACAAACAAGATTGTGAATTGAATCAATCTGAAAGAAAATGAATCTTTTTTGGAGAATTCCAAAAAGTCTACAACGCTCACATGTATGTGAGTATCTATTTTGGCCCCTGTGTATATATATGAACATTGACAAACTTCAAATCAAACAAGACTTATATACCACTAAACAAATACGTAGGATTGGATTCCACCAACAAATGGGATGAGACAAAATTTAAACGCTACATACTAAATATGATAGGATAGACATTGGAAACAAAGAGTCACCGTGAACAAGAAGAAAATAAGCTAATATAAATACAAACTTGTGCGAGTTTGGCCATACTACATAGGTCCCATCTTGACGTTGCCAATAACACCGCATATATCATTGCACACGTGTTGCTCTCGAAACAACTTGAAAGCGCGCTCAACTGAAACTTTCATTTCCGGTTTGTCGCGGCTGTGGTATGGAGGGCAACTGGTAAGACATATAGCATCAGTGACGTCTCATACGCAGGCCATTTGAGCTGAGATTGCTAACTTACTTTTGGTCATAGCAAATCGAGTTGCTAATTTTACCGTGTTCGTCACAATCCAGATGTGATATTAACGTTTGGTTGCCACTAAGGTCGTATGTATAGTGAATGAATGCGTGTATGAGTCGTGTCCAAGTATTTGGTTCATCAGGCTTGCTGTTGAAGTTATTTCCAGAGACAACGTATGACTACGATCAGTCGCTCCGTCTAAAATCTTCCACCTAGGTTCGGCCTCGTATGTTGATCCTGCCCCTTGCAGGACGTAACACGGCTGAATCTGCAATCATCATAATCAGTCATTGAGTATAGTTTGAGGCCGATCAAACAGATGGCCTCACCGACATCCCGCAAGAATCCGAGTACCATTGTTGGTACTTGGTGATCAGCATTCCACAATCGTTCCTTCGTTTATGGAACAAGTGGTATTGAAAATATTTCAATGCCATAGCCGCGTGACGATTGCTTTCGGCACGCGCGAAAAATCATGGAATGCTTGTGATTCCATAGCATTCCACGATTCGTGGAACTTGAGGAAATAATGGCCGCGAAGAAAACCACGGACCTCCTGATAACCTACATATATCCTACGGACAGTCCATCCATCCTTTTTAGCTTGCGTCTTCACTAATTCAAAAGTCTTGTATGTGATGTGGTCATCATAATATTCAACATCTTCATCTTGGTCGTAATAGACTTTGTAATACAATTTTCTAACGCGGCCTGCCTTTAAACGGTAGACGCATCCCTCCTCTTTACGGCCTAGATTTTCTATCATTTTGTAGTATGGCGTAGGTTCAGGTCGTGCTTTGATATATTCAAATATAACAAAGGTGAGTCAGTGGCTGCGTGTATCACACAATATTCAGGGCCGTGTGATAATGTCACAATACCTGGTTCACTCAGCAATTTATGAGGCTGTGCTGTCTCCTTCGCATGTTGAGGGGGATTATCAATACATGTTGAGGATGAAGTCGATGTCAAAACATTGGATTGGCCGTCTGTTTGCTCGGCTGCATCTGGTTTAGTTAAATCAATGATCATACGAGGAGACATTGGCAATGGTTGGATGCTAGATAAAAAGAATGTTAGCCAATTTTTGAGGAGAGTAAGTAATAAATTTATAAATATATATTGAGTAATTTTATTCAATCTTGTAATATGAGATGAAAATGAATTTGCCGAAGTGATCAAACGGGATCTGATCCTACTTCCTAATCAATGTTCAACGTAATGCCATATGGTCATTAAACCCTAGGCCTCACCAAATCGAGGTCTCATCCGTGAGTACGAGGACAATTGATGAAGCCAAAGTTTGGCGATCAAATGATTGATGACCATTGGTTATATCACCTTACATATTTTTTGATCGTAAAAGTGTATGGATTCGTTGCGACCCAGTGTGCCGATACAAGTCTATTGAACTTGATTATTATCACTTTATTGATGAAGGAAGTAGTCATGAAACATCAAAAACCAAATATATTATCAAATTGCATTAATGAGAGTGTTGAAATGGTTAAGTAAATAATGTCAAATTCAGAGATGATGAATTAGAGCATTCACAATTATTACGGATTTGGGCAATATATACTAGAAATATATAATGAATACAATATTAAATATTATATAACACTTTAAACAACAAGAATTTTGCGTAACACTTAAGAAATTTGAAAGGGTAACACCAGTGCCTTCTACCCTATGCGTGATAATTCTTCACTAAAAGCCAACTTGGCATTTGCAAATGTTTCCTCTGCCTGGTCTCGTTTACACTGCTTAGACCATTCCTCCCATCGCTCCTGACTTACTGCGTTAATCCATTGGATGTAGCGAAACATTGCGGTGTGATCCCATTCATATTCATCCTCAAAAAAGGTTTTCCATACTTGCTCCTTGCCCTTGGTCGAGATATGTTTGGCGTGCCACTCAAGCATAAGCTTCATTGACGTGTCTGGGCGTGGCCACTACATAATTTAATTAGATTAACATAAATATGTAAATCTGATATAGCTATCAAAGATCGAACAAGCATTTGAAACTAACCAGTCCAGATTGTTTCGTCCTCCTTTTTGGCTTAGATTTCTTTTTCTTCTTGGCAAGGAGGGTTGACGAGTCCGTGTCACGCGGTGGTGACATTGGGGGCCCATCGCAAGAAGAGCTAGGTACAGGTTCTCCGTGAGGTGTCACATTGCTATCTTGAGCCGAAGTATCCAGCTGGCCAGTTAGGTCTATGATTGGGGGTGGGCTCGAAAAGAACATATTGTCCTCATGGGGGAGGGGAGGAGTGCTGTCCGGATCATTGAATATGTTATGTGAAAATATAGGACCGGTGCGTTCGGTGACCAGCGCAACCTCTATCATTGAGTTCGAAGGAGGTTGACGTGATTGGTTAGTTGTCATGGCTGTTGCCTGGGTTGCCTCATCGCGGGCGATTGGGTTGGAACTAGGAGTTGGTTGAGGCGATTGGTAAGGAGATCTAGAGTGTGGCGAGAGGCGTTCTTTGCCTTTGCCTTTGTTGATTGGTGCTTTCGGAAGAGCCGGATGATACTGAGCTTGAGCGGTCTGAAGGACTTGCAGACCGTCGCTGGGAAGGTGGTGTGGCTCTCAACGAGTCCAGCGTACTTCTGATTGAAGTGTGTTTAACTGGAATGAGTCTCTCCTGTAAATCGGCCAGGCCTCGGCACATCTTGGGCTCTTTGACGGTAGTCATGCATACCAGAGCCTCACAAATTGGTGTCAACATGGGAATTGATGTACCTACTAAGGTTATGTTCTATACAAAATAGTATTGTTTTGTTAGTCATAATCGAGAATACTGCAAATAGTGCCAGTTAGTGAAATTATTACCCATCTGTCCGCTTTCACATCATATATACGCAGTAACTGATTCCAATGTGGTTCAGTAGCCTTTATAAAGATCATCAGAGGTTCGCATTCCGATAATGAATACTGCTTCATTGATTTCGAAGGAAACAAGAAAGAAATGGGGTCGCTGTCCGCCTGTCATGTGGATGAAACAATGTAACATTAGGCAGTGTTAACATTTGGTATAGTTAAGTTGCGCTTACTTTGAGCCATAGCTAAATCGAGATGTTTTTGTCACAACTCGCCTCAGCGGCTTCTTTGGCTCGCTTGGCTTCTTCTTTCTTGGATCGGTTAAGGTGGTAAATGCACATAGTTGCAGGTGTCAGCGCCAAAGGGTGAAGTGGAGGGGGTGGCCCTAAGAGCTGAGATTGATCTACTTCGATTTCTGGCAAGATCTGGGCATCGATAGCGGCTTGGGTGCTAGTACTGGCGGCAGATTCGATTACGCTGTCAAGGAATGGTTGAGTATTTGGTACCACACTGGCCTTTGCACGCTCGGCTGATTCATGAGTGTAACATTGAGTTCCAGTGGCCGCACGCTGAGGACGGCAGCACTGGAATTGAAGATAGTCAGTATAAAGTTATATTCTTTTACGTGGAAAAAAGAGATGTTGCCTCGTACGTCAGGACACACTTGCCATGTGCATTTGCGATTGCCGGGCTTGCCTTTGCCTACGTGGGGACGTACGTCATGGATGCCGGCGCAAGGTAAGCGCGTGCGTTTCGGGTCTTCCATATTATTGATAAGGTGGTTTCCGTGTTGCTTGGTGATAACCAATAGAGGACTTGACTGAACTGTGCCTTTGGATGAGTTACACAACTGGGGTTGTAAGTCGTTCAGTGTGCAAATATCCTGAAGGTACTCGATCCGACTATATGTCCGGAAAGCACCTTGTGCTTTGTCGAGCGGGCACTGTGTGAACAAATTAATTTGTTAAATATCAAGCGTCATACTGCACATTGAACATTGCAAAACGTGACTAACCCTGAATCCTATTAATGGCTTGTTAGGTTGGTGACGTGGGTTGTAGTACTGTGACGAGTGGGTGGGACAATGTCTACAGCAGGGTCCTGTGCAATGAAACCCGGTTGGTTGGGTGAGTTCTACTTTCAACGGCCGTTGTGGATTGATGCGACGTTCGTAAATAAGTTTGGTATAGTGTAATTGAGGGTTGGGCATGGAGTTGTACTTCCAGAGTGAGAGCAAGGCTGAATATCAAATATACAATAAACGTGTGGTGGTGAAAGGCAATGACATGGAAAGCAATCGTATGGGGTCATATAAATTATCATATGATGGTTGGGTCACCGCTCCTTCACGCTGCCCGTCAATGAATTATGATTCGAGGCTTCTGTTTTAATGAAATGTTATCAAAACTCGTGAGCAATACATTTCCTACAGGGTTATCATTGGGTCCTAAGTTGTGTGTTGCACGTGCTTGATAGATGTTCTGTCCTTCTTGGAAAATAGATGAGTGTAAAACAATGAAAGCGCGAATGGCGGGAATGCCTGTGGAGAGGGTATGGCTGGAACGATTTGATATTAATGGTATGTAGACGGTGCGCTGGAAGCATAGTATGCTTTGGGAAGGTCATTTGATTGGGAAAGTGGCTGTCACACTGCGTCAACCGTGTTCGGCTAATTTCTGTCACATCGTCTATCACATGTGTGTGACACTTATTTAGGAATGTTCCTAAGCAATATTAAGGAACTCTTTTTAAGGAACGTTCCAAAACTTCCGCGAGTCCGACCATGCCCTCGACATTTGGGTCTTCTAGTATTTCAGTACATTTGGAACACATATGATTGATGTAAGGACTTCCTTCAAGTTCCGTCCACATGAGTACAGTCATTTTTGGTTCGCGGAAGCGGTGGCAAGAACCACCAGAGTTGGAGACACTCATCATGCGTTTGCGGAGGTTGAATTGGTGTAGGAGTTGATGCACATCCAGCGCCGTAGTGCAACAGTGGTCGGATAGTATTGGTGTGAAAGTCTCCCCAGGGAAATGATTTGAAGCCTCTTCGCACAACTTGTGGGAGCTGTTGTAGATAGTTACCAAATTGTAAATGGAAACGCTGGTATCAATGCAACAAATGTTAATAATCTTATATTTGTTCGCCGCTGTTGATTATATTCGTGTGGAGACGTACTGGGCTAGTGATTGGCTGTAATTGAAATACTCCAGCAGTCGTATGGACATGAAATAATGCATGTTAACTTGGACACAGTCAGGATCTTTTCTCGCTGTGTCCAAGTAGTACGTGCGTGGTCCATTCTTTGTTGAGAAGTATGAGGCCCTATAACTGGTCTTGCAATCTACATGGTGAGCATTTGGTTAGTTTTACCGTTGGAGTAGGGAGATAAGGTATGATGTGAGCTTACGTCGACAATATGTTGTATGGCGTCGAATCGAATGGACACCATCTAGGTCGTAAAGATATCCGCATATGGCTGGCCTTTTTTCCAGCTTTTGCTTCCCCATTCCAGTCTCCCTGCATGAGGCATTGGGACATTTGTCTTGGTAAGGTGGCCAGAAGATTCGTTCGGGAATTTGAAGAGCTCCGGCCTCGTGTATGAGTCCTTTATCTCTGACAAGTGCGGCAGGTTCCACATACGATGAGGATAACGTTGAGTACAGGACGTGCCATAGGACCTCCCACATGCCAGGTACTGCAGGTGCAGGGAGAGCGGAATTGAGATATTTGTACGGCGCTTTGTACTTGTCGATTTGAATAGAGTGTTGATTGATTTTTACAAAATGACTGGCCACTGTGACGAAGCGGAACAGGGCGTCGGCGTCCACAGTGGCTAGTACTGATGGGAATTCCTTTAACTGTTGGGTGATATTGGATATGTGCATTAGTCCTTGTGGTAGGTGGTTTGAGTGTACGGATGAGTCGTGAAACTGAATAGTCTATTGGTTGGAGCGTGGTGGTATGCAGTTCTTACTTGGTGGACAAGTACGTGAGATGTTGTTGTAGCTGCTTTAGGAAGAGTGTCGGAAAGTGTAATCATGGTGGACGTATATGGACGTATACAGTATCTAATCTACATTTCAATTAACGAATTGAGCCTTGGAACTAAAGTTTCTTATGTGTCTAAGGAACGTTCCAAAACCTCCTCAAGTCCGACCATGTTCTGTCCGGTGATGGATGTACTTCCAAAACCCATAGAGCTTCTTTCTCATTTGAGCTTAAAAAGCCTGTGCAAATCATCCTCGAGTGAAAGATGCACAGGTTGCATCACTATCAAATGTGCCAAAACCATATTCTCAGAGTCGAAAAAGATCAAATAGCAACACATTTGTGAGGTCCTAAAATTGGAGCTCACGAATGCATTGCAATGGAGCGAAGAGCAATTGAATTAGAGGACTGATTTACATCAGTTCCTTGTAACAGAAGTATGTTTGATCACGAGCCTCACTGAAACCATGTGAGGCTCGACGATAAAAAGTCGTTTATCTTGCTTGAACAATGTTTGAAAGTGCTTTATAAGACACTTTTGAAAAGATTGCTTGAAAACCCGGTTAAAACGAGCCTACTAACGATACTCCTTTCACGACGACGACCTCACTTCCGCGCCTGGTCCTTATTATTGATGCCTCGCGAGTAGTATTGGGTAGTCCATCTAAGAATTTAACTTATGTAGCTATCTTCTAAGATAAAGAGGGAAAAGATTTTCAATGAAGAAGTGAAAGTTTCCAAAAAAGTGACTATCAGACTTTGCATCCCTGGGATGCATCTTACATTCTTGAGATGCATCTCTTTTGGTGCTTGTGTCTGCGGGTAGTGGCGTCTTTGGTACTTAGTCTCTTGGTTGTCTCCCGGTCGTCTATTGTCTCCCGTGAAGACTGATACACCACAAGGACATGCCGATGTCCTAGGGACGTCAGGATTTTTTGCAGGGGAAGGGATATCCTGACAAAACTGATCCAAGGAGCCCGGGTCGGAATCAAAATTCGGGACATCCCACGGGCTTCCAAGGGTGTTCTTATTTAAATGTAGGCCCAGCCTGGCATCCTGAGTGTGTGCTGCGGACGTCCGCATGCACTGACATCCAGAGGACAGCCCAAACGGGGGTGCCGACGGAAGCATATGATCTCGGACAATCCCGACGTCCTTCCGCTCAAAAGCGTCTTCGTGGTGTGCGCTTACGCTCCCCGAGAGGGACTTAGTTAGGTTAGGTAGATTCACAACATTGAAAACTCTTCACAATTGTGTGGGTGTGAATTTCACAGTTAACAAAGTACTTTGCTCCTGGCTAGGAATTGGTGAGCAAGGAGCAAGGGATTTGGTCAAGTTTTCATAAATGCAAACTGTGGGGAAGTGTGTGTAGTGCAGCCTGTAGGAAAGAGCCCTCCAGGGTCCTCCCAGGGCTCACGCGGTGGGCGCGACTTTTCAAAAAGGGAGCGCCCGAGGCGCGCCTGTACAGGCTGGGCGCGCCCGGTTTGGCTGGGGGCGCGAAAGGCGCCAGAGGAGCGAGAAAAAAACATGTATTGAACCAAAAAACAACTATCAGGGGTTTGGCTGGGGTCGCAAAAGTTGTCAGACAAGTAGGAAAACACCCTAATAAGACAAAAAAAAGTAACTAGCAGTTTGGCTGAGGCGCGAGACAAATAAAATGAAATATAACAAAATATAAAGACTATTGGAGTAGTCAAATACATATATCATCCATGTCCCATGACTCGTTATCGCTCTCTCCTTGAGTGTTAGAGGTATCTTTATTAATCGAGTCTATGGTTGGATTGCGAGTGAAGTTAGTGAAATCAAAAAGGGTATCAATGAATCCCCAGTGGTCACGAGTTTCATTGTCTTCCTCTTCAGCCAAAGCATGAAGGGCAAAGACTCCTTGCTCAAATTCTTGTAAATCATCAATTCCCGTGAAGATCGCTCCATCGTGAGTGTCGTCATCGTTGTTCTTGCTTTTCTCAACATCTTTTTGATAGACTTTAGCAGCGGCGTGCTCATCCTTCACACTGAGCTCAATTTGTGAGATCATCTTTAAAGTAGATATCTTCATGGAATGGCGATTTTTAGTTTTGGTGGCACCCATCATCGAGAATATGCTTTCAACGCCTAGAGCATGGGCAACAAGCTTGTTCACTCGGATCGCAAAGGTTTTGAGTTGAAAGGTTTGTGGAGTTGTTGGAAGAGCAAGCCAGAAGTCGATTGGGTGGTTAACTGTAGTGTCAAACAAATCAGTTAATAGAAATATTACAAAGAAAAATAGATACACTTACGTTTTGTTGAAACACGAAATATTCCAACACCGCTGAAGTAGTGTAACACTTGCTCACAAAGGCTTAAGGCATCAGCCTTCTTGTAGTTCCAGGATTTTGCTAAAGATATGATCATCTTGATTATATCATCAATTGTAAAGGCCTTTGAAACAGCAACTTGACGAAACATAGGGTTTAAGAAGAATCCAACTATATATATTGGTTTGTTGAAGAGTTTGGCATGCTCGTGTAAGACTTGCAAGCAGTGAGCTTTGAAGGGTTCGAATTGTGGATAGCTGGAAAGATCAATCGCTAGAAGTTGCTGATAGACAGTACCGATCTCCTTCCAAATATCTCCAACTGAGGTGTTTGCTTTTTCTAATTGGCCGATAGCATTCACAATAGGTCGAAGAAGCTTAACCAGGATTGAGTTTGAGGTAAAATGATCGCCATTTTCAATGGCAATGATGATGTTTTTGTTGATGTTCGAAGTCGGTACCGATTTGTCCCTTAACATCGCAAGACAGCTTTGAAATCCTTTTTCGTGGCTTTCCACGGACATTGCAACTTTAGCCATTGAATACCACCTAGATTCACAGAATGTACGAAGACCATGAGCAACACCCTCTTTTTTTCGCCATTTCAACAACTTGTGACTCCAAAAGCTTGACGAGCTGAAAAAGTTAACTAGTGCTCAATCGATTTCGACCGTTCCTTTCATATCCACATGTGCAACCACCTTTTTCGCAATGAGATTGAATACATGTAAGCAACATGCCAATGGAATAACATGATTGAACTCGGTGTTCACCATTTTCTGTAAAGAAAACATTGTCAGTTGTAAATGTTAATGTATAAATAAAGGGACATTTGAAACCCACACGTAATTTGATCATTGAGCTAGGAGAATCGGTGACAATGGCACCGATTTGTTCCCAGGTGACACCTTGTCCATCGAGGACGTCTTTCAAAGCCACCAAGATGTTTTCAGAGGTGTGTCGAACATCATCAAGATCTAATACATCAATCAATTTTTTGAAACTTGTACCACGAAGGAGGAGGAGAGCATAGACACTGTTGCGTGAGCAGTCAGACCATCCATCAAGCAAGATGGTGAGATTGGTTTGTTGCTTGAGTTCAGCCTTGGTTTTGACCGAATACGCAGCATGAAGTCGAGGAAGAACCGTATCCATCATGATGAATTGGGAGGCAGGAGTGTATGGTGTAATCGAGATACTTTGTTGAAAAGCTTGGAAAGACGGATTTTGAAGGAACCGAAAGGGCACATGGCCAGTAATCAAAGCTTTGAGCAAAAGTTCATAAGTTTCTTGGACTTTATCTGGTTTACGATGCTTGAAGAATAGACTGAAGTCGTGCTGAATCTTGGGTCGCTTGATCAAAGAGGTGTCTGAAGTTTCAGACATCTCGCGGCTTTGATTGTTCATATCGGCTGTTGAGGGTGTGTTTTTTCCAGTTTGGACTAGCTCAAGTTCCTCATATGCCGATTTGTCGGAGGCCGAGACGGACTTGCAGTCTTGGGTGATATGAAGATAAAGTTTGGCTGGCTTTCCGTCCATCACCAAGTTGCAGCTCATGCACTTAACAAGTCGTCGTCCGTTATTACGTTCGTCTAAAGCTTGGAAACCAGTCCATCTGGTACAGCTTTTGCTAGGTGGTTTGATCCATGATGCCGATACAGGAACTTCAATCGGCATGTTGAAATGAAGTTTGTTGATCCTGAACTTTGATGTGGAAGATGAGCGGCCTTCGAGGTTTTTTTTAGAATAAGGAAGGTGGGAATATGTGTGATGGGCTTTTTTACAGGTTCCAACACCTTCCGATGACAAGATAGTACCCTGGGCGCGCCCACCCCCAAAATGAGCTTTGCGGGCGCTACCTGGGCGCGCCAAACGCGCCGCGCCCACCGCATGACCCAGGGCCCACCTGACGTGTCCCCAGACTTGGCGGGGCTTCTGTGAACGGACCAGGACCGGGTGCTGGCCTGATGATCTGATCCCTTGACTCTGAGCCTTTCTCTTGTGTGAACATCGCTCGTCTAAGATCATACCCACATTTCCTAGGCTACTTTCTGGACCATGTTGACCTCAGCAGACAATGGCATCGCAGGGAACGCGTCTAGGTCCTTACCCACCGAAATTTTGACTCAGATTTTCACTCTGGTCAAAACCCAGCTTGCAAAAGATGAATACCTAGGTCGCAAATCTCAAAGCCTTCTCGACCTTCGCTTAGTTTGCAAATCCTGGTCAGCTGCAGTCATACCGATAGCTCTCAGTTCCATCCGCGTCACAAATGACAAGCAAGCACAAAATTTCCTCAAGAATTGGAAGACAAGCTTTTTTTACATCCCTGATTCTCAACCACGGTCCTTTCCTGTTCGTCGGCTTCAACTATGCGAGCTGGTCGAGGTCCCCATCCCGAAGCCACACGTGTCTACCAGCGAGGCTGCCGAATTGATACGACTGTTCAGCGAGAGCCTTCAGGCACTAGATGTAAATTTCTACTACGCAATGGACTTTCCAACTCCACTATTGGATGCTGTGAGGATCGCCAAATCGCTCAAAGAACTCACCATCGGTTCCGCTACTTCAGGGGGATCTCCAAACGTAGCCAATCTGTTGAACGCCGCGCCCGATCTTGAAGTTTTAACAATTAAATATACTGCCGTACCTCCCATGGAGTTCTCCGAGTCAGCCCTGACAAAATTGCGCCATCTGGAATTCCTATATACATATGCGGAAGAATCAGAATACGAAGACGAAGAGTTTGACAGTCGCAAGTATGCAGACCTCCGTGGGATCGTCAACATCTGCGAGAAGGCTCGATCGAGCTTGAAGATCATCGAATGCTATGTAGCTGAAGAAAATGGTAACGGACTCGAACCTGTGTTAACAGCTGTCAAAGAAACCTTGGAAGGTCTATTCACTGGCAGTATGTGCCATCATTGGCCCGGTGAAGCGCTTTTAGTGGAGTGTCCACGGCTCCGCGTGATTTCAACTTCTCCCTGGAGTGACATGTGCTTATACGCTGCCGAATATGACGCATACGAAGGCTGGTTCTGTTGGCCGATACTTCGACATGCACGAACACTTGTTTTCCCTATCCAGGACGCCCTTGGTTCATGGCTACACTTCTTCAAGGAAGCTCGAAAAGGAAAAACCTTCATGCCTTCGACTACATCACGTGACGAGGGCCTTTTTCGAAACTTACCCAACTTGAAACAATGTTTATTCCAAAGAGAACCCTATGACAAAGAGCTCCCTCTAAGCTTGATTGAAGACTTTGAGGCATTTGGAATCAAGTGTTTTGAAATTGGCGAGTTGAAACCGGATGAAATCATGGTTAGTCACTTCTCTCCTCCGAGTACCCGCTCCCTCTAAAAGCACTTCTTCTAATGCTGTCGTTCGATTGCTGTGATGGTTTAATAGAAATTGGATGCAAAATTGGACACTACTTTGGACCAATGAGATAACCTCTGTTGCCCACACGAGTTCCAGTCTACACGTTCGCAATAAAAACAGGATCAAATTTGCTGCACCCGAAAATCCAAGTCTTAAATCTTTGCCCGGCGGTTCTAGCGATATACTCAAACGTGGTTACTTAATGTCGAGTCAAATATGAACGAACAAAACAGTCGCTTTTGAACGAAGGGGACTAACGGGCGAAATATGTTGTAATTCTTTGTTATCACTTTACAGAAGTCGTTTTTGAAATCAAATTGAATATGTTGTACTTGACAAGTTTCTCAATCAGAACCAATCCTTCACGATTGTTCTCTAAGCTATAAGAAGAATCAATCACAAAAAAGTAACGAGATGAAATAAATCGAAACTCAACAAGTTTTTGAAAAAATGGGTACGTTGGACCAAACTTAGACTTAGGCGCTCATGAGATTCTGAAGCTAAGAAGTAAAAATGATGATGCGGAAAGATGTCTTTGTTTATAAAAAATGAAAAATCAATTAACGCGAGACAATACAAAGATCAACTGACTTCACCAATTTGAATTTCACAAAACGTAAGCGAGTTGTGACCCATGTAGTCAACATCCTCACAGCCTCATCAATCTATCTTTAGTCTCTAACCAAGAATTTGTCAAAGGAACGATGCCATCCAACTTTCTAAGTCTTTTTTCGGTAATCCTTTCCGCTCAGTGGTTTGGTTTCTTCAAAAAATACTTTATTTCTTCATCAACTCTTAGGAGGCGTTTTTTTTCTTTGTAGCTTGGTACTCTAACTTTAGGAGTTCTCTCAGTGGTAGACCAAATTAATAGAGTGGTGCTATTTTTGACTTCACCTGCACCTGCACCTCCATCCCAATGTCCATCCTCCCGTGTTTTTGATAAGTTGCACAAAGTTACACACAAAATCATCCAAGGCTTCCTTATCTCTGTTGTTAAGCTTTCCCCTCTGAATCTACGAATCAAGTACATATATCCTAATCACACAGGAAGAACAGAAGTTCTGAACATTTGTTGGAAAAAAAATGGGGAAAAACACATCAAATCTCTCTTTTTCTTTTATCATTTCTTTTGTATTCACAAATTCGCAAATTCTATGTATGCTTAACAAAATATGCTCTCAATCAAAACAAGATTACAACATCTTTTCACGAGCAGCACAAACTTATCAAAGAGTCGAATTCGATTTCTTGATGACCACATTGAGAAGTGGCTGAGTGGGATTTAAGCATTTGTGGATCATATTATGCTACAAGAGAGGGAACCTACAGTGTGGAATACAGTCTCAAAATTTTTCAGACTTTCGACTCGCAACTTTTGTCAACTTTGTCCACGACACTCTCTTTCTTTCAGAGCACAACACATTGTATCAAGACCGAGGCATCATCAATTCAACCTCAAGCGTAATCAACTATGGCCACTCGATTCGAATTCTCCAACTTGCTAGGGACCGTTTACCGCCAGGTAAGAACTCTGACCAGAAATCAATGTACTTGACTCTTGGAACCAGTCTTGACGCTTTGCTCGATGTTTCTTGCAGGGAAATGTTATCTTTACACCTGACGGACAGAGCGTGATTAGTCCGGTTGGAAATCGAGTTTCGATTTTTGATCTTGTCAAGTGATTATCAGAATTTTTGTTCTCGATTCAAGGCAACTGCTGACTGGAATATACTTTGATCCGTTTTCTAAATAGCAACAAATCTAGGACTTTGAATTTTCAGAACCGAAAGAACATCCGCCGGATATCCTTGTCACCCGATGGAAAACTCCTGATTAGTGTAGATGATGGTAGCTCCTCATTCTCACTATAAATCAGACTTTCAAGAGTGCATGCTGACTTGAACAATTATGAATGGCGTACTTAGACGGACGAGCACTATTGGTTAACTTCAAACAATCAGTGGTATTGCATCACATAAACTTCAAAGGCAGGGTTGAAGACATAAAATTCTCGCCAGATGGCAAGTTCGTCTCTTTTTACTCCCAACAAGAAATCAATACTCATTTCACTTGTTCAGCAAGCATCCGACGAGAGCTGAATTGAATGTCTTTTCTTTACCAACAAATAAGATATATCCTCGTCACTCATGGCCAACACGCTCAGATATGGCTGACACCATCCCATCAAGTCAAATCATTCGCCCCTTTTCACCTACATCGAACTTACACTGGACATTTTGACGACGTGATATCCGTAACATGGTCCGCGTGCTCAAGCTACTTCCTAACGACCAGCAAAGATATGAGCAGTAGGATGTACACTGTGAACCCAGTCGAGGATTTTAGACCTAGAACATTCACTGGCCACAAGGAATCAGTCCTTGGAGCTTGGTTTACTGGTAAAATCGGCGATGTGAATGATGAGCCAAGAGTGATAACCGTCAGCAAAGATGGAGCTTGTTTTGTCTGGCGAAATAAAGACGAGCCAGAAGATTCAGACGACGACACAGACTCAGAAGACCAGAAAATGACTTCATCGGCTCCCGTCTCCAAGGCTCCTGTTAGCGATCCCTTGGCTCGAGTCCGATGGGGAATTTCAACACGGCATTTTTTTAATGTTCCAGGCACATATGTCACCACTTGCACTTTTCATCCTGCCAACAACCTTCTGATTGTTGGATTCTCCAATGGAGTGTTTGGTCTATACGAGGTTGGAAAGGAAGTCGGCTCGTTCATCAATATCCATTCACTCTCCATCTCTCAGGAAAATATCACTAGTGTCTCCATCGATCCAACAGGTCAATGGCTAGCCTTTGGTGCTTCAAAACTCGGCCAATTGTTAGTGTGGGAATGGCAAAGCGAGAGTTATATCTTGAAACAACAGGGTCACTACTTTGATATGAACACCTTGGCCTTTTCAACTGACGGACAAAACATCGTAACAGGAGGAGATGATGGCAAAGTTAAAGTTTGGAATGCGAATTCTGGTTTCTGCTATGTCACTTTCACCGAACATCAATCTGCAATCTCGGCTGTTGAGTTCGCCAAACAAGGATCGGTGATCTTTTCCGCCTCCCTGGACGGTACGATCCGTGCTTTTGATCTTTCTCGGTATCGTAATTTCAAAACCTTCACCTCACCAACACCTGTCCAGTTTACTGCTCTCGCTGTGGATCCGTCGGGGGAAGTAGTAGTAGGTGGTGGAACAGGGGAAGGTTTTGAAATCTTTGTGTGGTCCGTTCAGACCGGCAAGCTAGTAGATATCATGTCAGGGCACGAAGGTCCTATCTCTGCTTTAGCATTTTCCCCTCTGGGTGATAAAATAGTTAGTATCAGTTGGGATAAGACATTGCGGATTTGGGAGATGTACGGACGTAAGACTACAGTTGAACCGTTTCAATTACCCTCGGATGGTCTAGCGGTAGCCTTTCGTCCTGATGGATTAGAAATCGCAGCCTCGACGTTGGATGGTCAGATAGCTTTTTTTGATGTGATTAACGGTAGCCAGAAATCATTGATCGAAGGACGAAAGGATGTGTCCGGTGGCCGAAAGTTTGATGATCGTGTGACTGCTGCAAACAGTGCGAGTGGTAAAAGCTTTAACAGTCTTTGTTATACTGCTGATGGACTACGGTTAATTGCTGGAGGAAATAGCAAATATGTTTGTCTTTATGATTGTCGTGATGGGATGTTACTGAAACGATTTGAGATCTCTGCAAACTTGAGTCTCGATGGTACAGAAGAATTCTTAGATAGCAGAAAGTTATTAAGCTCAGGTGTACCACTTGATGAGATCAACGATACTGGAGATCTTTCAGATTTGGACGACCGTCTGGATGCGAACAAAGTCTTACCTGGATCAAAAGGTGGGGATATGTCAAGAAGAAAATACAAGCCAGAAATCAGAACTAAGGCAGTAAAGTTTTCTCCGACTGGTCGCACTTGGGGTGCTGCTTCTACGGATGGTTTACTACTTTATTCATTAGATGAGACAGTTCATTTCGATCCTTTTGATCTATCACTCGAAATCACACCACAATCGATTCTTGAAAGTGTCCGATGTAAAGAGTTCCTCAAGGCTTTAGTGATGGCTTTTAGATTAAATGAACATAAAATGATCAAGCTCGTATACCAAACTGTTTCTTTTGATCAGATCAAAGTTGTAGCTTCTCAATTACCAAAGGTCTATGTATCTAAGCTTATGGGATTTGTCGCCCAAGAGGTTACAGATAGTAGCTCAAATCGTATCGAATTCAATTTGATATGGATCAATAGTATCCTTTCAGCTCATGGCCGATACCTGAAAGCAAATTCACACGAGGTCGCCCCTGTGATGAGATCTGTTCAAAAGGCCTTACTGGATACCCATTCATCGGTTGCCAAACTGTAAGTCAAGTTTTGTGATTTGTTAACAAGAAGAAGCGCTGAACTGATCATCATTACGTTATTTATCGGTAGATCTAATTCGAATACGCACATGATGCGTTACTTGATTGATCAGGCTTCTCATAGTAAACAATTGGCAGAGTCTGATCGATTGGAAACTTTGGATCTGATGGTTGAATAGATTAATTGTCGATCAGAGTTTTTGTCTCTTTTGTATATTATATCATTTCTTTCATATCTCAAAAAGGGGCTTAATTAATTGGGATTAGTTACCAGTTTGTTACATTGGCTGATTATGGTCTTGAAAACCCCATCGCAAAATGCTGAGGTTCAGAGAAAGTCCCAGTGGAAGAAAAACAGCTGATTGCATCGTGTCTATCTGGAGTCTTTAGGTATACAGACTTTCTGTAGCCGTCAACTCAGACCCAATACGAAGACCAAAGTTCATGATTGATTTTATGATCACAGTTGACAAGGTTATTGTAACAAGTCTCATGACTGATGAAACTTCCAAGTTTCGCGTAAATCCTGTTGCCGTATTGCCAATCAAAAGCTACGCGCAAACCTCAAGCCTGCCCCGCTTCTGCCATCCACAAGGCGGTCAATCAGGTCAATCAGTCAATCACATTGTGACAGCTAGCATTCCGTTCCCTTGGAGTCGCGCTGGCTATTGATGACAACAGCTTTAAGAGCGTCTTTGGTTTAACTTTTTTCTTTCCAAATATTTACCAGATGATTTCAACGCACATGAAAACTTATGATTGTCTTTGTTTCCACTAAGACTAGGCCAACAATTGTATATATCGGCAGCTTGATCTGTCTTAAACATTGTCACCTACATACTGTCACCACACCCATTGCACTGGTAGGTAACATCAGATGAAGGACCACATGGGTGTTGTGATAATAGTGGGCAGGGCAGCACGCCCCCTGATGATGAAGTCTTTTCAAGATGGAGAACGACTGATGGATGGTATTCTTGATTAAAAGCGAGTTAACTTCAGCCTCATTGGCTTGGTCCTGCTTGGTCCAAATTGAATGACAAACTCGCCTAATCATGCATGGCTCTGATCACACGCGGCCCCCGCCCTGACGATTTATCGGACCTGATCATGCACTAGGCCGCCCTGACTGTGCCTGTGCATGACCCTCGAGCCTCCGCCCCACAGCCATCTGGATTCTGTGTGACGGGCCGGCGAAGATCCGTTGTTGATCAGGACGAATCAACGGATCAGGGCGGATGATTTGTTGACCAGAAATGGCAAGTTTAATTTTGATTTTGTCTCAATTTTTCAATTTTGCCCTGACTTTTAGTCCAGCCCACTCGAAGACAATTTTCCCCTTAAAAACTCACATCAACAACTGATTCATTCGATATCGATTCACTTCTCTCTCTATCACTTTAACCAACTTTCGATTCGATTCGATTCAATCAGTCTCTCATCATTTGATCTTGGTCAAATTATCTTCTTGCACCCTCAACGACTCGCTTTGCCAAGTCCGAACTACTCGCTTCCAAACCGTATCAACCTCCACCTCATTATCAACATCTCGCCACATCTTCATCTTCCCAACGGTGTCATCATGTCTCATACCTCATTCACCGCTTCACCTATTCAAGCCGGTCCTTCGTCGATAACAAATGGGAACGTCTCAGCTGGCCACAACCAGACTGATGGGATCCAGAAGCCAGACGACAACATCGACACACTCGCAGACATCCGTCTTCTCCTCCAATACGTCTCCCGTGCTTTTTACGAAGTACGACATATCCTACTCCTCGACCAGCTCATTCGTAAAGAAGCGTGAGTTGAAAGTAGAGACGTTTGCCTGTCGGCTCGTCTCCCTCTCTCCTTTCCCTTGATTATGTGACCACTATGTCATGAATGTCTGGGAACTGAACGCACCTGCGTTTTTCACGCTGTCTTAGCATGAAAGATGAGGAACTGGCTGCTCGCCTTGGCGTTGGTCCCAAGGAACTTGCCAAAGCCGCAAACATGCTGATTCGGGACCAGTTGGTCTCAGTGTAAGTCATTCACCCTAATCTTGATATGTTGCAGTTTCTTATAACTAACTCTTTACTCTCACATTCCTGTCTTTTAGTTACTTGCGTGCCGAGGTCAAGCCTGGGGCTTCAAAAGCCACTCAACGGACGTACTACTACATTGACTACAAGCATTGTGTGGACGTTATCAAATGGAGGCTGTGGAAAATAAGCAAGGTTTTGGATGACAAGCAGCGAAATGTTGGCTACTTCACTGCTAGTTACTTGCAGCCGTATTTGTTGCGGCTGCTTACACGTTGCATTTGTCCCACAGGTCATCGACGGTCAAGGCTATGTATGTCCTCGGTGTAAGACTACATATTCTACTCTCGACATCTCTGGGCTAGCCATGACAGCCACGAGCTTTCTCTGCGAGATCTGCAATACTCCTCTCGATGACAATGATAATGACATCGAGGTGCAGAAGAACAAGGACCGCATGCAACGCCTCAACTCGCAATCGACGTTGATCAAGAAAACGTTGCAAAAGGCAGACAAGGTTACCGTACCTGCGTGAGTTTGCCTCCACTTTCTCATGGCGGCCAAAACTGATTGATCTTTTTGCAGGTTTGACATCGCTCAATGGGTGGCTATACACATGCCTCTCGAGAAACCGGTCGATTCGGCTGATGGTTTGGCTGTGGCAACTGGTGGTGCTAAGGAGGCTGCCGTCTCTGTTCAAATGGCGCAGGAGGGTGATTTGGAAAACAAACGTCTCCTCAAGGAGCAGCAGGCAGAGGCTAAACGACAGGCCAACGCTCTGCCGGTTTGGATCGCTCAAAGTACAGTGAGCGGTGAATTGACGGGGGCTGGTATCAAAGAAGGTACCAACACCACTGCACGACCTGGCATTTCATTCGTCAACCCGACTGTACCTGAGCCAGCTGATGTCAAGATTGACGGAGATGTCGACTACGACGCTTACTTCGCCAAACTTCAAAATCAATCAAGGTCACTGACGACATCGACCCTTGATCCCAAACGATCTCCGTCAGATAGCACCTGTTCACTGAATTCGCCTTCACAGTCTTGTGCCTCATCAAACGGGACTGGAATCAAACGGAATCGTGATTACGTTGATGAAGGTTATGGAAGCCTCAAGAGTAGTCCGGAAGATCATCGAACTCATGGTCATCAATCAAGGAAGAAGACCAAAGTTGATGTACCTGCGGTTGTTGCGCCTCCATCTGCCGAAGATGATACCGATGAAGTGAAGACGATGATGTTGGGTGGCAAGCTGATTGACATCAGCTCTGTGACGGAGGAGATGGAGCATCACATGGTCAGTCGTTTTCTTTTTTTGATGCTCATCTTGAAAAGGATGCTCATTGCCATTTCAGACGCCGGAGGAATATACCATCTATGCCACGCTTATCATGGCCAACTAAACCTTCTTCGTTCACCCTCACCGAGACGAAAGAACTGGTTTCGATTGTGGGCTCTCATAAATCGAAACCTAATGCCGGCGTCCTACCTCTTCCCATCTTCCAAGCCCACTGCAATGGTTCCTCATCTCATTTCACCCTAACGTCTTCCCATCTTCTCGGCTCAAAAGCTCTCTCTTCTTGGTCTGTTAGTTCGAAAGACCTTTTTATTTATTTTTATTGTCGAACAAACGCCACCAAAAAAAATCTTTCCGTCGTTCTAGAAGTTGTTTGTAATTCAGTTGATATAACCAAAAAACCAATTTCCAAAAAAACACTGCATTAAAACACAGTAAAAAATCTTTAGTTCACTTGTCAATTTCGTAACATTTGTTTGTTAAATAATTTTTTAGAAGTTTTCCTGATGTGAAATGGCTAGCTAGAGATGATCATTTTCCTTGGCTTGCTTGAATTTCTTTTTCTTTCTCCTTTTTGTGATCGTTATAGAAACAAAAATGAGATCGTGTGATGAAATGAAATTAATCGAATATATAGTCAAAGACATTGTGCTACGAGCCCATAAGCAGCGGATCATTGATAAGAAGCATGTGTTACAGTGAGATGACAGCTAAGACCACGGAAAGGTAGAACGATGGTCAACAGTAAATCCGGACTGAGTCACATCCATAGTTTGTAGTCAACCTCATTCAAAAGTCGACACCACTTCAAGATAGCCTCCCAATCTCCACGCTCCACCTTCATCTTACTCCTGACCGGATATAGTAATGATCAACGATATGATGAGATACCGTCATCGAATGATCCGGATTCGGGAATTGTTTCAACCGAGTTTGAATTACCACACGACGAGAATCATGAGAATCGATTTAGTAAGACGGCAATGTGATGACGTAATGGGATTAGTAAAGTGAATCACTTTCATCATCATTCCACTCAAATAGCTGTTTACCATCTCTTAAATCAAACAATACCCTTTACTTTCCAAATCAAACATCCACTTGAACCTATCCCTTCATAGCAAATTGAATCATACAATGGCAAACTCAAATTCAAAACTTGATCATTCGATACAAAGCTCACGAAAAGAGATTACAACATGGGCAAGTGAGGATGGTCATTTTAGAAGACAAGCATCTAGTTTTAGAGATCAAATCTCAAATGAAGGTAAATTCAAGCCTGAGAAAGGTAGATATCATATTGTGAGTTTGATTAGATTTTATAAAAGATGAAAGAAAGAAATTGATTTAGTGTTTGATTTTATGATACTAAAGTATGTTAGTTTAGCATGCCCTTGGGCACATCGAGTTTTGATTTTCCTACAATTAAAAGGTTTAAAAGATTTAGTAGGTGTCTCAGTTGTACATCCATTTATGGGTACAGAAGGATGGAGTTGGAATGCTCCAAGCGAATTTAATCCATCTATGACAGGTGTGATTAAAGATACATTATATGCTAGTGAAAAGATTAAAGAAATTTATTTTAAAGCCAATCATCAATATCAGGGTAGGTTTACTGTACCTGTACTTTGGGATAAGAAAGAGGAAACGATTGTGAATAATGAGTCTAGTGAGATTATTAGAATGTTAAACTGTTGTGTAAGTGGTTTGCTTTTTTCGGTTTCTTAAACGTTTAGAGAAATGGATTGACTGATGAAAGGTTTCTCATTGACCAAAAAAACAGTTCAATGAATTGATTGAAGAACAATATCAAAAAATCGATTTGTATCCTCAAAATTTACAACAAGAAATTGATACTATGAATGAATGGATTTACGATCAAGTCAATAATGGGGTTTACAAATCAGGATTTGCTACTACTCAAAGCGCATATGAAAGTGAAGTCAAACCACTTTTCGAAGCGCTTGATAGACTTGAAAAAGTTTTGGATGGTGGTCAAAAGTATTTGATGGGTGATCAGTTGACTGAAGTCGATGTTAGATTGTTTACCACTTTGATTAGATTTGATGTGGTTTATGTTACTCATTTTAAATGTAATTTGAAAACTATTAGAGGTGGTTATCCTAATTTAAATCATTGGTTAAAGTGTAAGTTCTACTTGCATTCTTTTTTTCCAGTCAGATTATTGATATTGAATCATCTTTGATATTTTTCTTCTAGGTTTGTATTGGAAGAATCCTGCGTTTAAAGATACAACTAATTTTGAACATATCAAATTCCATTGTGAGTCTTTTAAATAAAATCCTTATGTTCATCTTTCTTTCAAGCTTAATTGATTTAATCTTTACTTTATCTTGTTTTCTTTTCAAAAATTAGATTTCACTTCTCATCCACAAATCAATCCTACTAGAATTATTCCAATTGGACCTCTTCCTGAAATTGAAGCATTGGATGAGGATAAGTGATCAAGTTTTCACAAAAATGAATATTGTATTAGTTTCTTTGAAAAAGATCAAATCTTGATAATAGTTATGTAAAACATCAAACATAAAGAAGGAAATTTGATGTTTTTGAAAAAAAGACATCTCTACCCGTATTCCTAAACTTGATGTGTAATCTTAGTCGTAACGGTACCTCCCTCCCGGTCACACAAGGTAACATGTCACACCTCCCCACCTTGCATATCACCACTGCCATCCAACGGTGTCCAACCAATTGCCTTCTGGCCAGGCCTCTTTTGGTTGTAACGTCCTATCTCGACATTATTGCCTCCCTCTTTTCGGCCGTATAACAAGCTGTTGACCTTCGTACCTACTGCTGAAACTGTGTTCTGTCCTACATTGCCTCTCCACCAATGTGTCAATTTGACCCAATGTTAGGGTCCACCACCGATGGCGTCAAATCCCCTTGATGAACGTTTTGAACTACGCTTTCCATGATCTTACTTTTGACCCAACTCAGTGTCGATGGCGAAGTCTGGCCCGCTCTCATGGATTCCCTCATCATTGACCCAACTCAGCTCATTCCTTCTATCAGCATCATACAAAAGTCACCGCCTCGGGCTGTGACCAACCACTTTCCTTGATGGAGCCACATTGACTACATCAATTTCCTCCACACACTCTTCCTCAACTTTACTCAGAAGCTAACACACATTCCTTTGTACTTACAGTCTGATGTTCACATGATTTTGTGTCTCATGGTACCCCAACTTGGACACAATTCACAAATCACCACATACATGGTACCTCATCGCCGTCAACATGAAGCGCAGTGCGTGTCACAGTCATTGCAGGGGCACAAGCACCCTGACCTTGCCCACGGACCAAAAACATTCCATATTCACTGTATGTTTCCTTCTGCATCACATCTCTGCTGCCATCGACTTCATTCCTATATAATTGGCTGCCGCTTGACTCACATTGATGCTTATCCGTCACTGTTACTTTATGTAGTCTTTCTGTCTGACGTCTCACGTTTCCACCTATCACCCAAGCATATCTACGCTACAAGCTTATGTTGTCACAATCTGAACCCTGTTCACCCTCTCATCCATTTTGTGTTTATTCTACAGGAGAGGCTGGCAATGAGGTTGGTTCTTGCACTGGCATGTCTTCCCCTTTGCACACGCTTATGATGTTGATTCCACGCTTTCAGGTCGCTGCATTGCTTTCCAAGGACAAGGGTTTTATCTCTCACCACACCTCTATTGTGACTTCCGGTATGAACGGTGGTGCTCCGTTTGTCAACCCAATCAACGTCACTGCTCACGGTTCAACTGCCGAGGCGTTGATTCCCAAAAATGTCTACTCAATGAATTGTAAACTCATAGACTCAAACATTGATTCTGATGATCACTTACACTTCGAAAACTCAACCCAAGTCAACTTAGGCCCAATTGACATCTAATTGAGATTGTTACACGCGTCTTATGTTATGCGCTTATTTGTTTTGTTTGCTTACTTCATTAATCTGTAATGATGTCATAAGTTTAAGTTCTGATAAAAGATCCTTCACATTCACCGTGTCCATTATAGTGTGGCACGTCGACGTGCACACACCAAAGAGTTGTTGTAGAGGGTGGACATGAGTGTGAAACATTTTCACGACCAAAGTCAGACTCCCCTTTGTTGAGGTCCTCAGATGGTGACAGTAAGGACTGTGCAAACTCAAGTCTGATTGGACTTTTTCAGACCTTTGTTTAAGATCATCAATGACCACCGTCCACAGTGTCCCACTTTCCTTTGTTACAACAGACGGTTAAGAACCTCCACTGTGTCATTGACATATTGAAGAGAATTTTTTTAATCCATCAAAATAGGGTATCGCTTGTCTCTTGTTTGATGTTGATGTTTGTATATTGGCTTTGAAATGTTCATGAGACGTTCATGAGATATGGTTTCATTTAATTGCATAGGCAGCACCAGGCGGATGTTGCTTGCCTATTCACCTGGTCAAATCACAGAAATGAGTTTGGGACCTTTCAACACTACAAAGAATATGATAGCCGCGTTCAAACCTAACCCGGTTTCCCAAAAACCCGGTTACCCAGTTGCACTTTTGGCGGAGTTTGGTGGTACTGGGTAAACCGGGTTCACAAGTCATGTTTCAGAGCTGAGTACCCAGATTGTATTGCCCACTGACCCGTTAATACCCTTCTACCACTGCCAGACTCCACCTGTGACTCTACCACCACCACAAATGCCCAACACCACCCTCCGTACCGTCGTCCTGAACTGCTTGTTGTGCTTCTTTGCACTTCAAGTAGCGTCTTTGGCCCACAGATATCACCGTTCACTCAAGAAGCCCACCAATTTCACTACAACATTGGCGGCTAATATCATCCTTGGTCAACTCAACTCAGAAGAAGATACAAGTGAACAAGACCACCTCATTTTGATGGCTTGTCACTTACTTCTAGCAAACTTGTCCACTCTAGCATCAAATCAAAGATCCTGCAAACGTCGATACTCTGAGGACAAAGCAACGCTTGCAATTGTGGATTTTGGGCTGGATTGTGCTAAGAAGCAACGGTATCTCGTTTCTAGGGTTGATCTGTCGAACTGCTGTGACAAGCAGGAATTCTTCGACAAATGGTTCCATGAGACTGATCGGCGATGGAGTGTTGTGGTATGTACTTCATGTTTTCTTTTCACGTTGTCAAGTTTACCTTTCAACTTGCCTGATTTGTTTTCAAACTGTTGTTACTCGGTGATAGGCTTGGATGTCACGAAACACCTTCATGAAACTTGTACATGAGATAGCACCCAATCCCGTTTTCCACAACAATTCGAACTGCCCCCAAGCTCCAGTCGCGTGGGAACTTTTGGTTGCCATGGCTAGCTTTGGACTCTCCGGAAATGGAGGGCAGTGTCAAATTGCAAAACTTTTTAAAATGGCAGAAGGCAGTGTTGACAGCTATACAAACCGATGCATTGTGGCACTGGTCAAACTGGAATCACGATACGTGAGGTGGCCTACACCTGAAGAACAAACAAGCATCAAAAACAAAATTGGAGCCAATTCTTTCTTCAAGAATGGTGTCAGTTTTATTGACGGCACCCTCATAGCACTAGCTTATGCACCACAGAAGAATGGCGAGAACTATTACTGCAGAAAATCGATTTATGCAGTTAATTCTTTAATTATTTGTGATCATCGTAAACAAATCCTATACGCTCATCATGGATGGTGCAGATCTGCACACAATCAGTGAGTGCTCAAATCTACTGAGGTATTTAATCCTTTTTGTTTAGATGTTTTAAACAAAATACTGATATCTATCTTAGTTCTACAAACACATTGAAAATTACTTTAGTCCAGGAGAGTATTTGTTAGCTGATTTGGGCTACAGTGCTTCAAAGTGTATTCTGCCTGCTTTCAAAAAACCAAGAAATCAGCAACTCGACCGTGAACACCAATATTTCAACTTTGAATTAAGTCTGGTTCGAATAGCTTCTGAACATACAAATGTAATTTGGAAAGGTAGGACTCAGTCCTGTAAGGAGTCTCGAGTGATCATCAAGGGCCCAAAGTCTGCCAAGCGCCTCACAAAATGGCTTGCTGCTTTCTGTGTGGTACACAACTTCGTGAACAAACACGAAGGCTTTGGAGAAACAGGTTTGCCAGATGATTGGGATCAACACCGAGAGGACCCTCCCACCGCTGAAGCTGAGGCTCATGCAGCAATGGGGAATGTGCAATTAGCTGATCAAACTAGAGAGGGTTTATTTCGGGAATATGTGTTAAGTATGACATGAGGGTTTTAAATGTGTGTGGACCTGTGGCTACTCACATTTACTTTGTGTGACTTTGTGTGATGTTTTTGTAATGAATTGTCATTTTCCTCTTTGACTCCATGCTATCAACTGTGTTTGTTTTTTTAAAACAATTTTTTTTATCCTCTATTTTGTTTGATTACTGTTGAAACAAACTCAGGGGGATTCAATTGCAATCAAGCGGGTTAAAACAAAAAAACCCTTTTTGGCTCATTTAGAACGCGGGTAAACAAAAATCAATTCGAGTGATGAAGAACATGTTAATAATTGAATTTAGAAACAAGAGTGTTTTTTATATTGGTGTTTGATTCACTAGATGAATCCAAACAAGTATGATTCAAAAGCAAGAACGAGTTTGGGAAGAGGAAAAACAAGAGGGATTTTGATTTATCAGGTTTGAGAAATATCAGAGGAAAGCAAACCACACTTTTCAAATCAATAAGTCTAAGTTTTTTAAAGCACCAACACGTAATCAAAAGCAAGAATAACTTTATTTCTTTGTCTATGAGCAATTTGAGATGACCATTAACCAGAAATGGAACAACGAGCATTTCCTGTTTTGAAAACAACAAGTCTTAAACAACAAGAACAATTTAAATATTCCTTTTTTCTTTTGGAGCCATTTGAGGTGAGAAGAAGTAGAGTTGAAAAACTTGTCCAACAAAGGACCAGTTTGGCCAAATAGCACAGAGCTGGAAAAGAGTAGATTGATTGGAAGTTTTGTTTTGTAATGATTTTGGTTGTAAATCAAGAAGACCTTTTTTGAAACACTTTCAGGTCTTTGAACTTTAAAGTTCAGGTGAACCACAGCCGTAGGTGGAGTCATTGGTGTCATTGTGGATTTCATTGTCATGTAAGCCTAGGTCTTTACTACTACCCTGAATAACCTCCTGAGTTTGAGCTGGTTGAGAGTCCGGGAACATAATGGATGCTTTTCAAAAAGCATCCTCAAATGTATTGCCCATGCCGATGAATTTGGTTGCTGCCTTGGAACGGAGTTGAGCCTTTTTGAGCTGTAAGTCTTCTTTTTGGTTTTCTGACATGACCGTAATTGCATTGGCTATCTTGTACATCAATTTTGACTGCTCTTTCTCTTTCTTGTGTTCTTCCTTTGCCAAAGCAAGACATTCCGCTTTTGAGGGGAGAATATTGGTGATAAGGTTTTGTAGACCAAGCGGGTCTTGTGA